CCGTCGTGATTGCTCGTCAGGAATGCACGTCGTGATTGCTCGTCAGGAATGTACGTCGTGATTGTACGTCGCGATTGATTGTCACCTCGGAAATTCACGTCATGTTTGCACGTTGTGATTGCCCGTCGTGATTGCCCGTCGTGATTGCCCGTCGTGATTGCCCGTCGTGATTGCCCGTCGTGATTGCCCGTCGTGATTGCCCGTCGTGATTGCCCGTCGTGATTGCCCGTCGTGATTGCCCGTCGTGATTGCCCGTCGTGATTACACGTCGTGATTGCCCGTCGGGAATGCACGTCGTGATTGTACGTCGTGATTGCCCATCGTGATTGCACGTCGTGATTGCCCGTCGTGAATGTACGACGTGATTGCCCGTTAGGAATGCACATCGTGATTGCACGTCGTGGTTGTCCATCGGGAATGCACGTCGGGAATGCAGGTCGTGATTGTCCGTCGGGAATGCACGTTGTGATAGTCAGTTAGGAATGAACGGCTTGGTCGTCCGTCGCGAATGCTTGGCTCAATTGCCTGTCGGGAATGGATGTCGTGACTGCCCATCGGGAATGCACGTCATGATCATTCGTCGGTGTGATTGCTCTATTTTTGCAACTGAAGGAATGTAATCAGTTCAATCTTTCCCCCAAAATATTTGATCGTGGAAAAATTTGTCTCTTTAGTACGGATTTGCGCGTTTTGAAATGTCAACTTCCTCTTATGGCGGAACAACAAGCTTTCGTGACAAGAAAGAATAGCATTATTGACAGGAAAGACCGCGAGGTAATTTCGGGCAGAGTCAAACAAAAAGTAATTGCAGAATGAAGAGAGTATCCAGTAAAAGTTCTTCCTTAGAAATAAAAAGCTTCAAATGTGAAGAATTGAATTGATTTTAGGTCAATGGATGATATAAAAAATGGCGGAAATTGATTCTCTACTTACCACACAACGCTGTCATCAGTTCGTAAAATATGTCGTGATTGTTCGTCAAGAATACACATCATGATTGGCCGTCTGAAATGTACGCGGTGATTGACCGTCAGGAATGGGAGGTTTAACTGCCCATCTGGAATGCACGTCGTAACTGCCCGTCAGGAATTCACGTCGTGATTGTCCGTTAGGAGTGCACGTCATGATTGCACGTCGGGAATGCCCATCATGATTGCCCGTCAGAGATGTACGTCGTGATTGCCCGTCGTGATTGCTCGTCAGGAATGCACGTCGTGATTGCTCGTCAGGAATGTACGTCGTGATTGTACGTCGCGATTGATTGTCACCTCGGAAATTCACGTCATGTTTGCACGTTGTGATTGCCCGTCGTGATTGCCCGTCGTGATTGCCCGTCGTGATTGCCCGTCGTAATTGCCCGTCGTAATTGCCCGTCGTGATTGCCCGTCGTGATTGCCCGTCGTGATTGCCCGTCGTGATTGCCCGTCGTGATTGCCTGTCGTGATTGCCCGTCGTGATTGCCCGTCGTGATTGCACGTCGTGATTGCCCGTCGGGAATGCACGTCGTGATTGTACGTCGTGATTGCCCATCGTGATTGCACGTCGTGATTGCCCGTCGTGAATGTACGACGTGATTGCCCGTTAGGAATGCACATCGTGATTGCACGTCGTGGTTGTCCATCGGGAATGCACGTCGGGAATGCAGGTCGTGATTGTCCGTCGGGAATGCACGTTGTGATAGTCAGTTAGGAATGAACGGCTTGGTCGTCCGTCGCGAATGCTTGGCTCAATTGCCTGTCGGGAATGGATGTCGTGACTGCCCATCGGGAATGCACGTCATGATCATTCGTCGGTGTGATTGCTCTATTTTTGCAACTGAAGGAATGTAATCAGTTCAATCTTTCCCCCAAAATATTTGATCGTGGAAAAATTTGTCTCTTTAGTACGGATTTGCGCGTTTTGAAATGTCAACTTCCTCTTATGGCGGAACAACAAGCTTTCGTGACAAGAAAGAATAGCATTATTGACAGGAAAGACCGCGAGGTAATTTCGGGCAGAGTCAAACAAAAAGTAATTGCAGAATGAAGAGAGTATCCAGTAAAAGTTCTTCCTTAGAAATAAAAAGCTTCAAATGTGAAGAATTGAATCCATGGCCCAACGACTTAATTGGCAGTGGCACTTTTACGTTTCAAACTTGAACGTATGATTAATTTTTGTTTTTCTTTTATAAAATGTTGTTATGCAAATTTTCTTAATTGCAAAACAAAAAACATGGCAGCGGTGGGATTCGAACCCACGCCTCCGAAGAGACTGGTGCCTTAAACCAGCGCCTTAGACCGCTCGGCCACGCTACCTGTTGTGGAGTTGATTCCACATGACAGTGTCAATCTAAAGCCAACAAACACATTACACTTTATAATGTTCTCAAAAAATTTCGTAATTATAAATAAACATTTTTTAGTTTCATATGCTTTTCTAGTGAATGAAGACAAATAAAATAAAAAGGTCGGTTTCTCATTTTGGAGCCTACGATTACTTATCTGTACAATTATTATAGGTGTACCTACCTATAATTTAAATCGGTATTCACGTTGTCCCTTTTACATTTTCATAGAAGCTGTTAAAATATGTACAACCTGAATGAAGAATATTCCAATTTGTTTACAATGCTTTATCTATGTATTTTCTAGAATTGAAAGTGTACATATACGAAACGCAAAATATTACGCATTCATTGAAATTAGGAATAATAAACATTACGTAAATGTGTTCCTATTTATACAGAAAGCATTAATATTATCAAGCGAAGGATTTGTTTATTCATACAATCTTTGATTTAAAAATAATTTTGGTTAATTTTAGTTTCAAACGGTACTGGTCGCACCATCTATTGTGTGATGAGCGCAACTTAAATTTCACTCTATCCATGTAAAAGCTACGAGTTACAGAAATCTTTTCAAGCATTCGGCGTCTAAATCATAGGTATCACAAAAGGCACCTAAGCGAACCATACACCTTCTATTATTTGAATACAAAACCGTAGCGAATGTTCGTAGTATGGCATACTACTGTTCTCCGTCTCACAGATAGTGATTGATAAATCAATGATTATATGAGTCATATATATATACAGACCTCTCTTGAGGATTGAGTGGCATTTTTTAACACTTCCTTGAGAACTTTTGCATTTCTCATAGGCTGTAACAAATACGACTATCATCAAAGAGCGGTCATTGGTGTCAGAAAGGTATTTCTTACTTGATTATTTTTTGTTCGGTGTTAGCGTTGAATATTACCAAACAATGCAGAATATTAATATGTATACTTACTGTGGCTGTTATCCGCTATTAAATCGATAAATCGAACATTAATTATAATTTTCTTACTGAAACCTAGTTTAACAAACGAAATCGTACAAAGTTTATCATCAAAATACTAAATAGATGTTCAGCTTTTGTTCGTCTTGCAGAACCGTCGGCGTATTTTTTGAGTGTATGGCTAGCTATAAACATGGATCGATTGGCTAAAAAGCAGGCATCATAAAAGTTTGACTGACAGTAGAAGTTTTGCTTTCTTTCACTAGATGGCACGGTGTATCACAGTGAGGATTAAATTTTTGCATACAGGGATTCGTATGTATGGTTGCATACCCTTCACAAAAAGAATATAAGACCAAAACTAGAATTTTCGGTGATTTCCTGTTTTTCCAAAGTATGCGCCAAAAGAGATATTTTCGTATTAGTAACCAATAAGCCTATGTTCAAGCAAATTGTTTTCATGCAGAAGTGATACGTATTTGACATATATTTAAGGAAAAATTTTAATCGTTTGACAAACCCCTGAACTCCGAAATCGTTGAGATAATTTTGATTGCAATATTTTCTCTTTTGAAGATTGTAAACAAAACACCTCTCATGTATAGCTGCATTTTTAGATATAACGTGAATAATAATGATATCACCGGTCAGTAAAAATGCGGTAGATGTACGAATTCAATGTACCGACCTCATCCTTAATTAATTCGTTCTTATGATTGTGTAGCGTGTTTTACACCCCTATTTTTTCTGGATTCCGTGCTCCACAATTCTCTATATATCGTACCCGCACAATGCTACGTCTGCATCATCCTGTCCGTATCTGCAACAGGGGTGGCAGCGGCTACAAGGGGCAAGGGGCGGCATTAATCTATCGCAGTGAGCCACGGTGCAAATTACGTCATTACATGCAGTGATCAGGAAGTTATATATGTGCGAGTAGCTGCAGCATGTCAGCAGGATCCGGAGCTGCGACCCTTTGTGCTACTGGCACGGCATCTGGCACCTTTCCCACTGACTCACCTTCACGTCTAAGATTAGTAGGCTATGGTGCTCACGGCATGCTATGATGCTCATAGGCATATACATATAGGGGGGTAGGGAATGGCTTTATGCTCCGTCACCTTTCCAGCGAAACGACTGCTGAAAATTTGATATTAACCTTAAAGACTTTGGGGCACGTTCTTGCAACAACAAGTTTTATAATGCTTCTTGAAAAATGGCGTTAACTGGATTGACTATATTCTTCCTATTCAGTTGTGACTCCCCTGGTATATTTTGGAAGAAACGCTCGGACACGTCAATTTTGATTGCATACAGGGTGATCCAAAAATAATATATTGCGTCATACTTTAGATTTTTAAATAGAACTCCCATTTAGATTTTCCATTAAGTTTTTAGTAACTTTTGTATAATAAAGCTTATACCTATCTTCAATCGTTGTGAAGCTATTTGAGTTTATAACAAAATTCTAGAAATTATGATAATAAAAACTTGATGGAAAATCTAAAAATTAAAAAAGGGGGGCTTACATTTAAAAATGTAAAGGGTAATGTAGAAACCAAAATTCCGAGCGTTTTTCGAAAAATATACCAGGAGGGTCACAAATGGGGGTGGGACCTTTTCGTTGGGACACCCTGTATAATATCTAGCAGAAATGGGGCGGGCGAACCCGAAGATACTTTAAAAGCGAAAAACTTAGCTGTAATTGTAATCGTGTTCATAGCAACTCACAAACCTTCTGTTGGTATCCATAGCAACAATGTGTCATTGTACAATTTGATCGATATCGCATCATATTTTGTTCTCAATTCGATTTAACCACCTTTACATGATTTTTATTCACATTACGTTATAGAAAAAAGCTGAAAAATGCCAAAAGAAAACGAAAAAGACTTGGTTCCGGAAAAGGCTCTTTTAAGCCCTGATCATCCGCTGCTTGAACAATTCCAGAAATCATTGAAGGAACATCTTCTTAATCAGGTACGACCAAGGAATTCGAATAGATTATAGAAGGAGGAAAGCCTGTACGTTGACATTGCATTGTTTTCCCCCAAAATTGTGTAGTTTTTTAATGTACTTTTTGTTCAGGTAACATGACAAATGCCCTTTCGTAACCCCAATAACTATAAATATAACATTATCGATAAAAAGATTTGCTTTTATTCAGTTCAAACTGCTTTTTGCAATCCACATATACTTTCACCATTTTCGGGTCTGAAACACCAGGATTTGATGGAACCAACGCACTTTTATACGTTTCCACATAAAACGTGAAATACCAACACATGCCAAACTATCGGCTTAAGCCTGACTGACTTTTCATTTTTACTTTGTTGTGGCACCATAGCCTTGCGCCGTTGAAGTGTGGCAGAATAAATTGTCTTTTTATAGAATGTTCTATCGAATAAAATAACGAACGTGTTACACGGTGTTCCCGCTCTTTGCAGATAAATCGTTTGAAAGATGACATCTTCGAATACGAAACGGCAGCGAAAAAGAAGAACGTGGAAAGAGAAGAGCTTGGCGTTAGAGCGTATGAAGCACAGCAAATCGTATGTGCTCAACAGAAAACGCTGGAAGGGATCATATCCGACTTGAAGACTGTCACAGCTGCCAAAGAAGAAATCGAAAATGAGCTAGAGGAGGACAAGAAGAAGTTCAAACAGCTCAAAGATAAGCTGAACTTGACGGAAAAGTCAAACAGGTAAACGTAATATCTTCAAACATGATTTCAAGATTATTTAGAGATTGAGAAACGCGGGTAAACGTGAACCCTTAAGCCCAGTACTGGAATAATGCGTATTTTTAATGAACTTTTATTCAACAATTGCGTGTGATTTGAGCAGTTCTCGGTAGTATTTTGAATTTTAACACCTTAGTATGCACCTTTTGTTGTAGAGAATTGCAACATGAAATTGAAGGAGTAAACATGCTTATACAGCAAATGGTTCAACTAGAGAACAAAATAGAGTCGCAGATATCGGTGAATAAGAGAGTAGCAGAGAAAACAAGGAAGGATATGTTGAAGGAAGCGGTGCAGAAAAGAGACCAGGATATGTTGATTTATCGATTGTTTAATGAGGTACAATTGAGTTGAAATGTATTGTTTTCCAAGGTTTTTAGTTTCTTGATGCAAAATGATCCCAAAATTCTCAGGGATAGCCTATGACTGCCTAGGCATCAAATGGGGGAGTGCCGCAAGGATCACTACTCGGTCCCTTTAAAGATAGTCTATATATAGCACGTACACATATTTTCATTTTGTTTTGTTTGTTAGATTTGGCGACTGGAGGGTGAAATAGAATCTCTGAACATTCAAATGAAGGCTAAAGAGCTGGAAATGGACGAATTACAACAAACGATAGCTGTCGGTAACACAAACATCGAAGCGTTGCAGACCGAGTATCGATGTTTGATGCATTCGTGGAACTCGGTCGTTGTTGCTATATCGAACAGAGATAAAGGGTAAGTTTTTTCAAAGGAAATTTTTATAAACTCTTTCAAGTTCTCCTGAAATGTCGGTGACCTGCCAATATGACATACAGTCGAGTTGAGAAGGACGTAGCTGTCTTCTGGTTCCGCTAAATTTACTCAGCAAGCTACTGATATAAAAAACCTTTACTAACCTTTAACGTCCACAGCTTAGATTGCCTGACCGAAGAGTTGAACAAGCTGAAAGAAAAACACAAAACACTCCTGTACGAATCCGACCAACTGAAGAAACTGCAGAAGAAAGAGTGCAACGAAAATGAGAGGTACACGATGATCAAAAGTCGTATCGAATACGATATAAAGAATTGCAAGACTCAATATGACGAAGAAACGGCGAAAAAAACTTCTCTGGACGCGACGATGTACGAATTGCAGACGGTGATCGACCAAACTGAAAAGGATATCGAGATAGCCAATGACGAAAATAAAAAAAAGGAGATTTATTTGACTTCGTTGGGGAAGGACTATGCGAAGATAATGCAGAAGAAACACGAGCTGGAAGAGAGGATCATGAAGGATCTTGAAATGAGAATGGCCAATGATAAGGTACCGGCCATGAGCTAGTTCAAAAATGTTATCAATCTATGTTTTACTTCCTACGCAACTGGCGAGTATTTTTTTTTTGTTCTGGTCGATGACCAATAGGCCATTCCTCATTCTCAATATAATCCACTGATAGAAATTAGAACATCCACTATCATCACTACATATTATAATATATATATATATATATATATATATATAACAACAAGTAGGAAAATGATGATGATATTCTCTTTATATATATATATATATATAGGTGAAAAATTAAAGCTTCCGACTTTTGTTGGGTACTTCGACAAAATTTAAGCAAAGAGGACTCTTTTTACTTTTTTTAATTCTCTATAGCTTTCAATGGACTTTGCCATCATCATCAGGAGCTGCAATTACAATGATAACAGTAGCAACAAAAGTGTAAAATGAATTTAAATTGACTCAACTTACAGTAGTATGCGAGGATGTTGCTAATTGTTGTTTACGTATAGGATGAGGGAAACGTCCAGTAACATGGTGAGAGCTGGATACATGGTACAATGGTCAAAATTATATAAAATATGACAAGACAAGTTAAAAACAGATTAAAAATTATTTAAAAAACATTAGAGCATTACGTCGTGAAGCCACTTGATGATTGTACAAAATGGTGATCATGGAATAATGAGTGAGATGAACCTTTGACAGAAGGCGGAAGGTTGTCAATGTCTGTGTTGAAAGATGGAATGAATTGTGGGCGTGTGCCAACGTTGCCAAATCACTTCAGATGATGTGATTTTCAGAATGTTATGTAAGAAATTGTTAAACCGACCAGAGGCAGTTGAATAAACTATATTTTAATTAATGGGAATTTAAATTAACAGTTATTAATAAATCGTGAGAAGAGAATTATTATATTTTGAGTGGAATGAAATTTGTTGGTGGAATCGGCCAAAACACAGATTATATTTATGGTTGTGAAAAGTCGAAATTTTGGGAGATATGTAAGTTCTCCAATTTTTCGCAGTTTAGCAAATATGAGTAAATGACACTCAGTTGTTTAACATCTGTCTTTTTGTTGATACAGTTGTTATTCATGAAAATGTGGGACATTTCCAGGAATAAACGTTTGGAAAGGTGTTTTTCTTTATCAAGAACTTTGATACTTGTGTAATTCATAGAATGCCCTGTTGTGTTAACATGAGATGCTAGAGCGCATCTTTCAGGATGAAGCCTAGCATCACTTTTGTGTGATGTAATCCTTCCTTTAAGAGATCTGGAGGTCTGACCTATGTATATTTGGTTGCAGTTGTTGCAATTGATGGAGTAGACTGTGTTGGTTAAGCCAAGCAGCGGGACTTTGTCTGGTCGGTTTAACAATTTCTTACATAACATTCTGAAAATCACATCATCTGAAGTGATATGGCAACGTTTGGCACACGCCCACAATTCGTTCCATCTTTCAACACAGACATTGACAACCTTCGGCCTTCTGTCAAAGGTTCATCTCACTCATTATTCCATGATCACCATTTTGTACAATCATCAAGTGGCTTCACGACGTAATGCTCTAATGTTTTTTAAATAATTTTTAATCTGTTTTTAACTTGTCTTGTCATATTTTATATAATTTTGACCATTGTACCATGTATCCAGCTCTCACCATGTTACTGGACGTTTCCCTCATCTTATACGTAAACAACAATTAGCAACATCCTCACATACTACTGTAAGTTGAGTCAATTTAAATTCATTTTACACTTTTGTTGCTACTGTTATCATTGTAATTGCAGCTCCTGATGATGATGGCAAAGTCCATTGAAAGATAGAGAGAATTTAAAAAGTAAAAAGAGTCCTCTTTGCTTAAATTTTGTCGAAGTACCCAACAAAAGGTAGAAGCTTTAATTTTTCACCTAACTGGTCTAGACGACAATGACCACGTCTCAAGTTATATATATATATATAATTTTCTCGTTCCCTTTCAGGTAGCAAGAAACATGACGAAGATCCTCGTCCAGATGAGAGCGAAGAAAAAAGACGTGGAAATCATAATGAACGAAACCGAGAACAGGAACAGCATGCTGCATTCTCAAATCGAATCGCAGAAATTTTTGAACGACGAGCAGAACAGGATGTTGAAAGAAGCGCAAAATCAGCAAGCGGAGCTGACGAAAGAAGCTGATCAGCTTCAAGCCGAGATACAACGATACGAGCTGCTGTTTAGGAAGAAGGAACGAGACGCCGACGTGCTGAACAGCAAACTGGAAAGAGCAGCAGGTTAGTGGTGATATTTTAAAAAAATTGTACCGATATCAAACCGTTTACAAGCTTTGTTTTGGGATGTCACAATTTCTAGCACTTCTGGACATAATGGACGTGTATGTATGATATTCAGGAGATTTTAAATATACATAATTAATATTCTGGGAAAGGTTGGGAAATGTCGAAACTGGACATATTACAGATCAAAATATGTGAAATGATCTAAACATACCTCAGTCCAAAAGTTGATAGTTTGCGAGGTAGGTATAGGGTGTCAAAGTTACAATTTTATTTTCTATTTTACCTCGCTGCTTGAGAAGGATTTAAGATTTTGGCATAAAACTCGGTATAGGTAGGTTTTCTAAAATGAGAAACAAGAATCCGTTATTTTTCATGGCCAAACTTCTACAGGGCGCCACTTACAGCACTACTTCGGTAAATAACTTACCATAACTTTTTTGTGCTACCCTGTATACAACAACTGACCGAAAATTCTTATTTTCTCGTATTCCCACAACAAAAAAGGTTTACTTGCTAGAAGTGTTTAAAGTTAATAGTTTTCGAGATATTTGTTTTTAAAAGTTCCAGTGCATTATTTGTACCTTGATGATAAAACATTTTTATAACATAATAATCAAGTTGCTTTGGATAATATCTGACTAGCGTTGTTATAGTTTCTGATGTTTGTCACAATATTGCTTCATGAATAATTTCAAGTTGACAATAAGTTGTTAAATTTCATGGAGTATACGTTTGACGAATATTCTGATACGTATTTAATATACAGGGTGGCTGATCGAAAACGAAACAGACGCATTTACTGGCAGCTCAGTTTTTTTTGGAAAAACGCTCAGACTCGTCGATTTTGTTTTCGAGGGGGACACAAGTTTGGCAAAAAATCACGTTAACACGTGCAGCCCCCTAAGCGGGGGTGACACCACCTCCAAAACCTTAAATGGAAAGGGGGGTCGAGTGATACCTTATTATAAAGGTCTTTCAATTCCCTTTATAATGATCTAAAATATATTATCTTCAGTTCAGTAGCTTTGAAGATTTATTGATTTAAAGCTTAAAGTAGACTTTAATAGGTACGTCAGATTAGTTTGTACTACTTTCAGAAGAAATTTGATTAAAAGAATTTACTTAATAAGTAAATGCTTTTCTTCACTACGCCCATAGTTTGTTTATCATTTTGTTGTTGAAAATAGCTATTGGAGCGTTTTTTTGTGGCAGAAAGATAACGAAATATCTCGTACTTATTTTAAATAGGAATTGCGATTGATTTGACCAAACTTTGTTGCTCGTAATGTTGTTCTTGCTTTTTTGGCAGCAAAACTGGATCAAGAATCGTCGCCTCAAGAGATGGTGATCGAAGAATTGGAGAAACGCATCGAAGAATCTCAGGAGCGCATAAAGAAGCTGCAAACGTTCTGGTTACGCGAACAGAAAAATCTGTTGGGAGTGTCGAACGAACGTCAAGAACAGCTGCGGAAGATCAATTTGATGAAAAAACAGCTGCTCATTTTGGAACAGAAGAACATCAAGATCAACTTCGACATCGAATCTTATAAAAAGCAAGAGGAGCAAGTGCAAAGGAATATTAGAACGCTTCATAACAAGGTTAGGGGAAATACGCTATTTTTATGCCGAAACAGCGGCGCAGGCGGAAGCCTAAATACCGGGAATGTGAGGAGCTTTAACACGTTAACTGTCTATGAATCATATGTGATGCATTGTACTTGCTTTGCCTTACGATATGTTAAGAATTGGACGTGATATTCAGGCAGCTGATTATAGCATGGACGTATTAAGATGATATCAAACTTTAATTTCATTTTTCCAGGTAGCATCATATGGGGTTGTCCAAAACGGACGCAGGAAAGTAAACGCATATTAAAACAAGAAAGATTGATATTCAAATCAAGTTGGGTACTTTATTTTGAAGGTTCATCTATACCATTTATGTATGAAAAATAATATCGCTCAAATGTTCACCACGACTGGATTTACAGACGTCCACGCGATGGTCGAAATTTTCAATGACATTTTGCAACATGGTCGGTTCTATGGCATTTATCTCGGCAATGATGTTGTTTTTGAGTTCTTGGAGGGTGGCTGGTTTGTTGACGTAGACTTTGCTTTTCAAATATCCCCATAAAAAGAAGTCCAAGGGAGTCAAATCGCACGATCTTGGTGGCCATGGCACATTTCCTCTGCGCGAAATCACGCGATCACCGAAGAAGGACTGCAATCGATGGATATTGACGTTGGTTGTGTGGCATGTTGCACCGTCTTGTTGGAAATAAACACCGTCCATATCCATTCCTTCAAGTTGCGGCAAAAAATAGTCCTCTATCATCACGTGATATCGCTCAGAATTGACGGTAACGGCGTCCCCGGCCGCATTCTCGAAAAAGTAAGGTCCGATGATGCCTTTTGACCACAATGCACACCACACAGTCACTTTTTGAGGATGCATCGGCTGCTCTTGATACTCACGGGGATTTTCGTTCGCCCAGATGCGGCAATTTTGCTTGTTTACCGTCCCATTCAAAGTGAAATGCGCTTCGTCGCTGAACATGATTTTTGATGAAAAATTGGCATCAATTTGGCGGTGTTCAAGGAACCAATCTGAGAACGTTCGGCGCGAAAAATGGTCGGCCCGACGCAGCTCTTGCGTCAATTGGATCTTGTAGACGTGTACATTCAAATCATTGTGGAGAATGCGGAGCAAACTGGTTCTCGAAATGCCCAATTCTTGGGATCGACGCGTTGTTGATTGTTTCGGATCGTCTCTCACACTCTCCTTCACAACAGCAATATTTTCCGGTGTGCGGACGCTCCTTGGCCGGCCAGAGCCTGGCAGATTTGCCACAGAACCTGTTGCCTCGAATTTACGCACCAGACGACCGACGGTTGTTTCGTTTGGGCGGTTGTTGCGACCGAAATGTTCACGAAGCGCGCGAAACGTGTTTTTTATTTTTGCACCATTTTTGTAGTGCTCTTGAATAACTTCAATCGAATACGACTCCATAGCAATCAATGGTAAACATTCAACTAACAAAATGACATGTCGGTGACAGAAAACAAAGATGGCGTCTATGTCAAATTGACGTTTACTTTCCTGCGTCCCTATTGGACAACCCTTATATATGATTCGAAGACGTATTTTTTATGTTCGTAAAAATGATTCCAAAAAATTCTTTTATTTATTAAAAACGACTTTATTGAAAGTTTTAGAAAACAAAGGAAAATAATTCTGAAAATACAACATAAAAATGGTTATTGTTCTGGTTCCAGCAAAAAACAAGATAGGCAAAAATGGCTTACTACATATGGTGCAATAGGTAATCTACTGGGTTCCATTTCCGCGTTGGTTTTTTATGAAACATTCATGGCATCTTTTTCTTATAATAATTTCATCGTTGTCTTTTCTTGGTATTTTTGACGTTTCAACAGAAGTGGATGGTTCAACTAGAGAAAGCCAGAATAGATCTAATAAAGCTGTTTTTCAGTCTGTCATATTTTGCGAAGCGCTTTACAAGAAACGAAACCACAAAGTAGAGCTGGACAGGAACAACGTACTTCTGCAGAATCAAATCGATACGAAACTAAAGGATGCTGAATTGGCAATGCTGCAAATTACTTCTGACATTGAAGAAATCGAAGAAGATAAGGTTACTCTCAGCAAGGAGCTGATAGAGGTAAGGCAACTCAAAAGAGAACTAGTTCTTTACCAATTTTTCATCCCTGATTCTGTACCGTGAGCCTTTAGGATTTTTTCAACGATGATTTTCAAATTTGGCGCCCAAAATTACCGCAATGTACGCATATAGCCACCGTTAGAGAAAATTTATTTTTTGTGCCCTAAAATCGCAAAAGTCGCATAGTTTTGCAATTTTTCTCTAAATAATAGAATGGGGGATCAGACATATGTGAAGCGACTCCAAATTGGATGATAGCGACGCAAAATACGTCAATACAGGTCATTTGAACAAAATTTTAAGCATTTTAGTTTTTAGTTAAAAAAAAGTTAAAAAATGAGTCAGTCGGGAACCTGGGCCCAATCATTTTTATAATACCTTTTTGTGTAGCTGAAACCGAATCCGGGGCCCTTTTAGTCCGAAAATGCCTCGTTTCTGAGATACTGGCAAGAATTCAACTTTGTCAAAAAACGACTAATAAAAAATTTTCCAAAAACTGTTGCGTAGATTCCGTATATGTCAATTTAGTGATAGGATTCACGGGTAGCCTCCGATGACTAGTTTCTTACCAATTTTTTGCCCCAAATCTGATCCGATGACACTTTAGAATTTTTTTACTATGATATTCATATTCAACGCCCAAAATTACCTCATTATACAAAGTTCTATTTACATATAGCCATCGATAATAAAATTGGATTTTTAGCACCCTACAGTCGCAAAAAACGCTAATATGCTATGAATGTTTAACAAGTTTCTCAGCGGCATTTAAATACGCCCCAAAGATCGCAGCTTTTTCCTAATTTAAACCAAACTGTATCTACCACAGGTATTGAGATCCCCATGCATATGATTTTTATCTTTGTCACCCTGTATATACTTTATTAAAAAATAACTGTCTTTTCGTTTTTAAATACCCATGTATCTGTAATGTTTTATGACAAATTCGGAGTAGATAATACCCACTTACTAAAGGTTGTTTCTTTTTAATACTACCAATACCATAACCACATTTTACTACTCATTGTATATTCGTAACTTTAACAGGAGATTTCTTGCATTATTCTAAGCAAAAAAGTTCCTTATAACTTATGTCCGAAAATCAATCGTTTTCGAGTCGTAAATAATTAAATTTTCTCCAACATTTGGCAACGCCGCAACGCAACCGCGATACGAGCGCACGACGACCGCAACCGATTCATCGAATTGTTTACGTTTGTATGACATTTTTGTTGAAAATACGCCTTGAATTATTGAATACTTCTACGCAAGTGTTTGTGACTGATATTTTTTATTTAATAACGTTTTCAGTACAGTACATTTACTTACCGGTTCGTGGCGATATACCCTACTAATTCCCACGATTATCAGTCACTTATTTGAAACGATGCGATGCACGAAAAAAATAATAACATCCGTAAATCACATAAAGTTACAGGTAAATGAATTAGTAATCACAACACGCGATGATACATGCATTGCAGGCGGAATACGACGTTGCCAGTTGTGTGAGGGATTTTGTTTGTGTGTTTTTCTTCGGAAAATTGTATTTAATAAGCAAGAAAATTATTTTGTTAGAGATAGTTAATTAATAAATAGATGTATTGATTCATTTTACGCTATTAGGCATATGAATTTAAATTATTAAGGTGCAAAATTAATTTATTTCATGACTAAAAAAAAATAAGTTCGGTATTGTTTTGCTCCGAAACCGTTGATTTTCGGACATAGGTTATAATGAACTTTTTGGCTTAGATTAGTCCAAGGAATCACCTTTTGAAGTTACGAATATTATTTCCCTAACACCTTGCATATTTATTATTTAAATTATTAATTAAAGTATCCTGAAGAAGGAAATTAATTTTCCGAAATGTCGGCTACTTCATAACAGGAAGCTGTGTTTCTTTAGATCTCAAATCCAATTAATTGAAACAACTTTCGTTCGTTTACGCTGACTCTAGTACAAAACGGTTCTGACTTAAAAAATGCTCCTTGTACTTACTGTACGTACGACCCTTTCGCTTTTCTAGGTAAACAGAGAAGCCTTGGAATGGGATAAAAAATTGCAACTAGCTAGAGAAGCGGTGAATAGTTTGAAAGACGAGCAAAGTAAGGAGGGCGAAGTGGGCAACATGCGTCAAGAGATACACAAAATGGAGGTGATTCTGAGCGGTATGAAACGAGCTCAGGAGAAGCTCATCAAAGATATGGAGCATTGCATCGCCAGAAGAGACTCTATTTATATGTCGTCGGAAGCTAAAATAAAAAAGGCAAGCGTTTCCTTTGATTTCTCGTCATCGCGTCGTCTCAGCTGTCGATGTATCGATTTTGATATTTTTTTTGCTTCTAGAATAACGAGGACAAGACTAGAGTGACATTCTTAAGAAAATTGGACAATCAGCGAAATAAAAACAAACAGCTCGAAAACGAAATCGAATCTGGTGAGCTGAAAATCAAAGAAATAGACGAAAAGAAGAAGACAGTCGAGGAAGAGATAGGAGAGGTGGAAAAACAGCTACAAAGTGTCATACAATATCATGGTTCTTTAAGTAAGTGCTTACAATGATTTTAGAATAAAAAAATGTTGTCAAGTAGATTGACTCCAACGTCTCCGCTGGAGCTTTCAAAGAAAAAGAAAATCGAATCGTCGTTAGGTAAGATCACTTAGGCATGTGGAATCTTCGATCTTTGCATATCAAACTATATAAAGACATCTCTACCTAGGCATGAGAGAAAAGACGTACGACGTACGATTTTTTTATAATTTGATTCTTCCATATAATCCTCACCCCCTAGATCTATGCTCTTGCGTAAAAATGTCTCCTCTTGACTTCCTAAATAATCGTCGACGGCTGCTTTAGGTCATCATTAAAGTCAAAACATTGTCCTCGAATATTTCTCTTTGAGTGATCTAAAGAGATAAAGGTCAGACTGCGACAAGTCTGGACTATAAGGAGACCGATCTATCTCAACGAAGCTGCATTCCTGCACAATTGGTCTAATTTTCGCAGCCATAAATTTTTCAGCGTGTTGGCATGTATTCAATGAGAAAAATCCCTAAGATGCCCCAAAAAGCTGTCGCCATCAATTTCCAACACAAAGTTACTTCCGTGCCTTTTTGAAGAGTGGAGACTATTTTGAACCGACAGCTCAATCTCACTGATGTGCCCAAGTCTTATTGCTCGTCGAATTTGTGTCAAAATGTCACTGAAATTTTTCAAAGTATCCAGATGACTTTCTGAAATTTCCAACTCACTGTCGTGTAGAATTAGGTTCCGAAATATTCGTTGCCATACTAATGGTGGAGACGTTTACACGACGACCTTCGAGAACTTCAACTTTTAGAGTCTTGGCATTGTAATAAGTCTTCAACGAACAAACAAAATTTCAAGATTTGTTGTTGTGGATGTTCCACTTGTGCGATCTGTTTTGTCAGAAACTTGATTGCAGTACTCCAATTGAAATTTTAAATTGCTCAATTTTCGTCACAATTCACTTTACAAATTGGAAACTACATGCAATGCTTTTCATTTCCTTTGTTTTTTTTAACGGATCAATTCAAAAAATTGAAACTTGATGTAATGAAATTGATGCGTGGATTATTGGGCGCCATCTTGGAAAAAAGATTATATATACACAGGGTGACTTTGAAGTTGAGTCATTAATTTTCAGATAATGATTGTAGAAGGAAGATAAACCAAAATATGTGTGTAAAAATAAAAAAAAATTAAAAAACAAATGTTACCTTGTTTTATAAAGTATCCTCCCGACAAGTATTTCAGTGTGGACCTGTATTTGATCGTGCGGTCTTGGAGCACCGGCATGCCTTCCCCTGCGAGGTCTTAAGTCACCTGATTCACGAGTCCTTTGTACTACATTCAGCATTTTCGTAAACATGTGCCATTTTTTATTTCGTTTGAGTCACGCAACAAACACCACTATTCACTCACGCGTTACCGACTGACACATCGACTGAATACAGCTGAATAAAATTGTACATTGTAGTAAAAACATCGTTTCAAGTTCTGTCGCGTTTTTGTTTCCGATGCGATGAACGGATAAGGCGGATTATATCCGTTGTTGCCAAACACGAGCACATAATATTATTATTGAGACAGGGCGGTACTCAAACTTCTAAAGGGCTATAACTTTGTTACTTTAATTTCACCAGAAAAATGTTAAAGGAAAAAAACATTTCTTTTGATCAGATCTACTCACTGTTAAAATAAATGACTCAACTTCGAAGTCACCCTGTATATATATTGTGGCACATCATTTTGAAGCTCCTGACGAGTACTCTATAACCCTGGAATATTAAGAAAAATATTTTCTACAAATAAGACGATTCGGGAAACGATCATTAAAATACATTTCGGTCTCGTGAAAGTTATGCGTCGCACCATATATAAAAATCGCTTCAATTCTTTCTTCCAATGGACGAGAATTGACCGTTTTAAAAATAGTTCAAACAGTATCTAGCACTAATACGCAAAACTAAATAAGAACATTTTAACTGTACAATGATTTTTGGTTTCGTACTGATATTCTTGCCACTGTCAACAAAAAATAACAAAACAAGTTTTTATCGCTGTTGCTATGGATACGGCAGGTAATTACAATTATTTGTCGAGATATGCATGTTAGTGGGTTTGTGATCAAGTAATTATTAAATGTACCACCATTTTGTAGTTGGTAAAGGTATTGACTTTATATTCTAGGGTTATAAAGTACTCGTCAGGAGCTCCAAAATGATGTGCCACAAGACCCCCGTTTTCATATAATTTTTTTTCCAAGATGGCATGACATATTCATCTATCAATTTTACTCTAAAATATGCATATATCCATTTCATTACCTCAAGTTTTAATTTTTTGAATTGATCCGTTCAAAAAATTAAAGGGGAGGTGGAAATAAAAGGAAAGCACTGATAAATTAACTGAAATTTTGCAAGCAAGGTCAGATCGCATACCACTCTTTAACATACGCTTCTACGTGTCAATTATTGTGTTTTTATGGTCGATGTTTCTTTATTATTCAGACCAAGAGTTGGAAGAAACGAAGACAAACCGCCAATTCAACTTTGAACTGCTGGTAGCCCAACAGAAGAAGCTACAAATCTACGAAAACCTGGCGAAAGGACGCACACCGTACACCATATACAGAAAAGACTCGCAAATTGTTCCTGAATATAGCAAACAAAAAGATCTGAACAACAGACTGGGACAAGTCGTCGACCATTTGATGACCGATTTTCCAGAGAGGGTGCACGAGTTGACCAGGATCAGTAACACTTTGAAGATTGGAGCGCTTGCTATCGTCAATCTTTGATGTGGAGTTTTTTCGCCTTTTTCTAACTTGTGTTATTCGAAAATAAAAATAGAACTCGAAGTCGAATTTGTTTTTTTTTCGGAGCCTAGCAATTGGTCAACCAATATATGAAAAAAGTATTTACAGGGTGTTTCAAATTCGACCCTGACCCAAAATCGTTTTTTCTTATAGACGCCATATTGGATTTTTGAACAGATCAATGGAGTTTTTAATTCTACTTCCAAAAATGTAAATATGTCATACATTGACATTGCCAAAGCTTAGTTATTTCAAAAAAGCAGAATTTCCTAGGTAGGTCTTGAAATTAGTCATTTGTTTTGCATACCGGATTTATCCTAAAATCAGTTTTATTTTTTCCTGACCTTATAACAATTTTGGACTATAACAACTAACACAATCGATTTCTCGTTTTAAAACTAAGAAACTGCCTGTTGGTATACAGGGTGTTCGAAAAATAGACAGATATTGTTAAAAAAATATGAAAAAAAAATTCATAAACATAAGTCCGGAAATGCAGAGTCTTCAAGAAATCATGGTGATAAATTTTGAAAAAAAAAATATTATTAATATCTTGAAAAATGTTGAAAGAAGCACGTTAGCGAATATTATTGGCAATAAAAATCTACGCCACTGCCTCTTCTGTAACTTTAATATTTGTTGTTTGATTAACCATCAAAAAAATACAACTTTTTTGCCTCTTGTATTTTTTTCGTATCTCGCTTCGTTTTCGAGAAAAAAAAACGATTTATTGCATGTTACTGGAAATAATTGGTTAATTAAATCTTGCTAAAAAAATCACAAGTGCCTTGGAAAACAAGAAATTATTTCTGCATGGAGATTTGACATTTGCGCACGAGTTAAAACGTCATTTTTTCATACTTGTTAGCAAGGAATCACCCTATACAATATCCCTGTTTATTTTTCGAATACCCTGTATAACAGTTTCTGGCCCTAGTTTTTGCATACATCGTTAAATTTTAAATCTGCGCTACCTATTTTGAGGTATAGGCTTGCTTTTCGGTGTCTCCGCTTTTCTTTCTTGCAAAAAAGTACAACACGAGTTTTTTGAGGATTGAGTTTCATGTTCTTAATAGTAGAACAGTCATTAATACTTTCGAGATCAATATTAATTTTAGCCTCAGCCATTTTAAAATCATCAGAGCGAAAGCTCAACAATAATTGAGCATCATCGGCATAACAAATGTATACTAAGTGACATATAAATCCGAACACTCAGTTTAAGTGCTTTTATTTTAATAAAAGTTGGTGAATGTATTTATCTTACTGTAAATAACAAGTGAAAAAATGTTCAGCCTTATCAGTTGGACATTCCGGTTTTGATACTGCTTTTTTTTAATTCACTAACGCTCTAAAAATGAATATTTCAGCCGCAGTAAAGAATCAACGTTGGCGGATTTTGGTTCTTGACATCCTTTACGATCGGTTACGATGCCTAGAGTACGGAGACCTGTACGATTTCGTCAACTTAGTGAGTTTGATAGGGGCCGTATAGTGGGACTTCGGGAAGCTGGACTTTCTTTTCGGGCAATTGCAGTTAGAGTGCAAAGAAGTGTAGACACTGTGGTTAGGTGTTGTCAGGCATGGCTTCGAGAAGGCCGTACGCAAAGAGCAAGGGGCACTCGACGCCGCCGTAGAACAACAGACCGTGAAGATCGCCGCCTAAGATTATCGGCCTTAAGGGACCGTTTCTCCACTACCAGGTGAATGGTTTGCAGAACACGGAAGACCTATTGGCATGCGAAGTGTTTATCGACGAATGAGAAGGTTTGGCTTGTTTTCATACCGGCCACACTGGGTCCTCCCTTTAACTCGAGAACACCGACGTAATCGCCTTGAGTGGTGCAGACAACGGTCACTCTGGGATCAGGAATGGAACAGTATTGTCTTTAGTGACGAGTCTCGATTTTGTTTAGGCATGCACGATGGTCGTGCCAGGGTTAGAAGGCGACGTGGTGAAAGGAATCCACAGTTTTTTGTTGAAAGACATGTTCATCACACTGTTGGAGTTATGGTTTGGGGTGCTATAGCTTATGGTTCCAGGTCACCTTTATTCTTCATCAGAGGTAACATGAACGCGCAGCGTTATATCCACGAAGTTCTAGAACCCCATCTTTTACCCTATCTTGACACCCTGGCAGATCCAACTTTCCAACAAGATAATGCCCGACCACATGTTGCAAGAGTCACAATAGACTTCTTTCAACATAATGATGTCACATTGTTACCATGGCCACCAAGATCTCCCGACTTATCCCCAATTGAGCACGTGTGGGATATGATGGGTAGGAGATTGCTCAATTTGCAACGTCCTCCTCAGACTCTAGAAGCACTTCGAGAGGAGTTGGTGGTTGCCTGGAATGAGATACCACAGGAGGACATTGACCACCTGATCAGAAGCATGCCTAGGCGCGTTGGAGAATGCATAGCACATCAGGGTGCATCCACACATTATTAAAGGGCTTTAAAGCAGTGCAATCATTTTGAAATTTTTATCATTTACTTATTATGCTTCATTAAGTACTTATACAAAATTTTATTAAAATAAAACCATTTAAACTGGGTGTTCGGATTTATATGTCACTTAGTATATACATATATATTGAGAACAAGAGGGGCCCTAAAACTGAACCTTGTGGTATCCCTGAAAAAAAACATTCTGTAAATTTGTACTTGTGGCCAGAACCACCTGTTATTCCCTGTTTTTAAGATACGACACTAGGAAACGTAGTGCCTCTTTATCAAATCCTAACTAAGTACACTTGGCTGGAAATAGATTGTGGCTTACGCTGTCGAATCGAGAGAGAAAATAACTATTCCAGGCTGTTATCCAAATTGTAGATTATACTGTCAACTATAATAGACAGTGCAACGTACTTTTCGAACGTTTTCTATATTCCTGTCATTAAATTCCCCTGACGTTGTTGTGTGACACCTAGTATATGCGAGGCTGTTTGGTCAGCAGGGGAGAGATGGGGGAAAGAAGGGAGAGAGAGAGAGAGATCAGCTCTGTATCGGCTGCACAAGCCGTAATCCTTATGCATACATCAGTTTCGACGCTCGCTGCTCGCCTCTGGCTATCAAATCCATACGACACAATGCGTAGCTGGCAACGATGTGTGTACATGCAACAAAGAGGAGATACTGCTGATGCCAATAACCAATGGCAGCTCGTCACTTTAGACACATCAACACTTATACCTTCTTTATATTACCAATAACACTGGACAATAAATTTTAGTTTTTTAATTGTATCTTGTGGGAAAAGTACACTTCTTTGTTAATTTTGGGGCGCTGAATCCAAAAATGACAATGAAATAAAAAAATTAGTTGCGGTTTAGAAAAAAAACTTTTTATTTTTAAGGATATATTAAAAAAAGTAACAAGATTCATATACTTATAAGAATCACTATATGCGCTGTCTTTTTGCTGTTCTTTTATGGATCGTTTCTGGAGCATCTCTACCAAGAGTCCAACAGTAGTCTGCAAGCATGGAAGGATTCCACTTTCCCTGGTACCTTTTTTCCATTGTTGAAATATCCTGATGAAAACGTTCGCCGTGCTCATCACTTGCGGCTCCGCAATTGTCAGGAAAAAAGTCCAGGTGTGAGTGTAGGAAATGTATCTTAAGAGACATATTACAGCCCATCTTTTGATACGATGACAGCATATTTTTGACAAGGGTTTTATAGTTGTCAGCTTTTCTATTTCCCAAGAAATTAGTGACCACCAGACGGAAATCATTCCAAGCAGTTTTTTCAATACCTGTTAAAGTGTTTTCAAACTGTGTGTCTTTCAAAATATTTCGAATCTGTGGCCCAACAAAAATACCTTCTTTAACCTTTGGCAAGTCTTGGAAATTTCTGACGCAGGTATTGAAAAGCTGACCCATCTCTATCTAATGCCTTGACAAAGTTTTTCATTAGGCCCAACTTGATATGCAGTGGTGGTAATAAAATTTTTTTCGAATCTACTAATGGCATATGCTGTACATTTTTTTGACCTGGCTCTAGAAATTGACGAACAGGCCAGTTTTGTCTGGTGTAATGAAGTGCCTTTGCCCGACTGTCCCATTCACACAAAAAACCGCAAAACTTTGTGTAGCCTAGCTGCAGCCCTAGTAAAAGTGCAACAACTTTCAAATCGCCACAAATATGCCATTGGTGCTCATCGTATTTTATGCATGTCAATAGGTACTTCATATTGTCATATGATTCTTTCATATGAACTGCATACCCTACAGGAAGAGATGGTAAAATATTTCCAATATGCAATAACACTGCCTTTAAACTCAATGTTGAACTGTCTATAAACAATCTCCATTCTTCTGGGTTACAGTTTATATTTAAAGCCGCCAGTAAGAAGTTAATGTTATTGCAGAAAACCAAGTTATTCTCCATATTGAAAAATGGTTCTAAGTCTTTGTGGCGTTTACGAAAAACGCATACCGAAACATCGTCTTCTAACAAGTTCCACTGCTGCAGTATTGATCCAAGTAACTCTGCCTTACATTTTGGAAGTTCTAAATCTCTTACAAGATCATTTAATTCTGACTGTGTTATTTTGTGCTGTTGGTGGCATGACGTGCTCGGTATAAAATCAGGATCTCTTGACGTTGATGGCATATCTTCTTCCTGACGAATCACTCGATCGCCATGATCTGATTCGTTTTCTGATTCGCAAGTGTAGGATTCTGGGGGTTTTGGAATAGGATTTTCGTCACTGTGAGGCACAGGTCTCATCGCAGATGGTATGTTTGGGTAGTTAATAACCGATTTTTTTTCTTGGACATACCTGTGGCTTGTCCAACACAAGGTACCATGCAAAAGTAACAATCATTAATATGATTTGTATGCTCTCTCCAAACCATTGGGACAGCAAAGCACATAGACCGTTTTTTGCCATTTAACCAGCTCCTCAGACTTGAAGCACATGTATTACAGCAGATGTGGGGTGCCCACTGTTTGTCTTGATCACCTAGTTTACAACCGAAATAAAGCTGATATGCCTTTGTTATTAGTGGAGTAATAGACCGTCTCTGAGACGCA